GGATACCATGGGGTGGGGGGGGGAGGGGGGATGTGGCAGCCCTGCATCATATATATATATATACACACACACATATACACACACATGCATGCATGCGTACATACATACATACATACATGCATGCATGCATACATACGTACGTACATGCTCACATACATTTGCAGACATACGCACGTACATGCAGAGGCCTGCAGTGGGTGTAAGGTTCATAATCACCTTTACCAAGATTCATGGGGTACATGTATACAAACGCTAGACGAGGCTATCTTTGATGCTGCTCACAGACAAGCACAACAGCAGGGCTCGAAGAGCAGCCCATGGGAATGGAACTGTGGGTTAGTCATTGATCCCCGGTTGCAGGAACTTCTCTTGCAAGCCGTTCGGGGCGTTGTCGAAGTTTGCTTTACCAGCGTGTTACCTGCTGCTGCAGTGTCGCTTCCCATAGCATACTCCCATGCTCCAAGCAGCATACACAGAATTTTGCATGACTTCGGAAAACAGGGAAGGTCGTTGAAATGTCATCCGAATTCGTTCTTCGGAGTGCTACCGACGAACCTTTCTGCTCGTCATCGTTGACCGGTTGACAGCACTTGTTCTGCAAAGGCACGGATTCCCCAAGGAGCTTGGGAAATCCATACGGCACGCTGTCCACTGCAAAGTCTAACTGAGCCTAACTCCTTGCATCTCTTGAGGCCTTCCGCCATCGGTCCTCTCCATAGCTGCCAAGTGATTGATCTGGGCGCCTCAGGCTCCGAGAGTCTCCGGAAGCATTGAGGGGACTCCCCGATGGATCCTCTGGCTACCCTTGGACTCTTAGGTGGGGAGGTAGGAGCCGGGCCAATAGACAGCGTGTGGACCAGGATCATGCCCATGATGAAGCAGTCGAACCTGTGACGCGGGGCTGACAAACAGCCTGCAGGTTGCCGACGGGTCTCCCTGACTCGGCTAGGGTGCTCCATGGCGCTCCTAGACTAGCTCGCATTCACGGCTCCGAAAGCCAAGCCATCAAGCTCCAGGCTGAGCCTGTCAGACTTCCCACTGCGATGCCATGGAAAAAATGGGTGTGGGCAGAAGGATACGGTAGCCGCTCAGCGATTCCTCCCTCGAAGATGCTGAAGACGCAATGTGATATTTAGAACCCGTCTGGCACACACCAGCCACAACACGGCGCAAGACGAAGAAAGTGGATGGTTTGGGATACAGATTGTCCAAAAGTTCAGAGGTGCACGCATGTAGACTTGGGTGTTCAGTCTTGTGGAACGCAGTTTTGGAGAAACAGCATCCTACACTTCTGCTTGGGGTACAGTACTGCAGTTAAACATGTGATGGGCCCAAAACTTCAAATCAACCATCAACCTTCAAGCCGAGTCTGTCCGCGCAGTCTCTGTCTTCTCAATCTAACGTTCATGTTATCACCTGATGCTGTAATCTCCACAGACGCCTTGAACTTCTTCACTGAAAGCGGCAAGGCCACTGCTGTGACATGTCTAAGACTACGGGAGATCACTTTGACTCCTTTGACTGAACAGCTTCGACAGCTGTCCGGCTTCCTAATGGCGGCTTGATCCCATTTCATTGCACCTTCTCCTTAGGTCGACGCAGTCTTCCGCTGCAACACCGCATGCAGCAGCATGCAAGCATAAAGACAAGGAGATTCATATAGACCATGAGGTCATAGCCTCGTAAAAGGAATTGTGAGCTCGTCGTGCGCTCCAAAGGGGTTTCCAGCAGCTTCAAGTCGCCGTGCACGGCGAGTTCCAACAAATCGACAGCACGCGAGACTCCTCCGAAGCTCCCCAAGAGCCGAGACAGGGCAGCGGCCTTTTCGGCGTAGCGCTCCGTGTTCAAGACATGCAAGACATCCGCAGCCTGCACCCAGCCGCCAGGAGGGCCTGAGATGCCTGCGCCAGCATCTGCAATGCGTTGGCAAACTGCTGGCTGATCGCCCCCTTGCGGGTAGCCGACTAATGGCACGCCCATAGCCATGGACTCTGTAGCCGAGTTGCCTCCACAATGCGAAACGAAAGCCTTGACTTTGGGATGTGCCAGCGCTCTTGCAGTTGGCACCCAATGATGAATCTTGACACTGCTTGGAATACCTGGCAGGCCCTCCTGCTGGGGTTTCGGTAAGGCCCACAAGGTGTAGTACTCCGAGGAAGTGAGGCTTGCCAGCATTGCTCTGGCCCGATCGGGTGTGAGTCTCACAACAGTTCCGAAGCTGACGTAGACCACGGGCATATCCTCAGGCACCTCTTCAAGCCACTGCTCAACATCCTCTGAAAAGGGCTCCATCTTCTTCAGGTCCACAACCGGCCCTGTGTATTGTACCAAAGGTGGCAGCGGTTGCGTGATATCCATACCAGGAATGGTGTTCACGAGGACGAGACGTCCACTCCAAAGGTCCCAATCCATCTCCGGCACGAGGCTGAACTTGAATCCGACTGAGTAGGCGTAGGCACGGACGAAATCGATGAGCACGTTGCTGCCAAGCACAAACACCCTGTCCAAGAAAGTCATGTTGTGCACACTCACATGGTAGAAGGGAATGGGCACATATTTAGCAGCCCACGGAACTAGTGGAGGGCACAGGATTGTCGGAATGTTCACAGCGAAGTCTATCTGGTGCTTTCTCAAAACGAGCCCGGTTTGCCCAAACGGCATCCCCAGCAAAGCGTAGTCAAATTTCGCTGGGGAAGCATTGAAATATGCTTCCATTGCATCGGTCAGGGCTTCGTTGTATGGCACCATGATGTTGTTCATCATGTAGCTCACCTGCTTCCTTGTACTATTGGTAGACATTCCTGTAAGCATCACGTGCTCTTCCTGCTCCTCACTCACAGGCAGTGGGCCCAAATCCACATAGCCTAACTTGCATCTCGAAGAATACTTCTCCACTTTCTTCCGTCCTCTGTCTGCAAAGCTGAAGACTGTAACATTGTGACCGCGCAGACAAAGCTCCTGTCCGATTGAAATGGAGTTGTGCAGCGGAGACAGCGGGATGCCCGCAATCAGGAAGTGAAACTTCTGCATTCGCCGCCCTGCTCCGTTGCACTACGCCAAACGCTGGGCCCGGTTTGAGGTTATCGACAAATTCTGAGTTTTCGACTGACGGCTTTCCACTTACCTGCTTGCCGGACATGAGTAATTCCGGTTTATCATGTTCCTCTCGGTCGCTGCGGCCGTCCCCTGTCAAAAACACTCTACTCTGTTCATATGGATCGGGTTGAAAAGCCACTGGTCTCATCCATCAGCATCATATCTCGCAGAATTGGACAAAGCAACCTTTCATGTCAGCCTGGTAGGTTTCTGCTCACATTAAAAAGGTTTGCACATCCTGGATCTCTCCATCCCACCCGAGCCAACGGCTGCCGGAGCGGCTGTTACCAAACGCATCCGAACCTGCTCGGTAACTCCGAAAGGTCCTGTCTCGGCGGAGTTTAAGAAAATGGTTGCTTCTTGCCGTCAAGCGACCATGGATTCTGAACGAGCCGCCGCAGCCTCTTCCGACAGCAACCTGGCAGTGACCAGGTTGCGAGACAATGCCACCAACAACTTTCACGGAAAGTCTTCTTGTTGCACGCACGCGTGTTCCCTACATCGACTTCAGCAGTATAAAGTATGCCACACGCATGTCTCGTTGTCTAGCGCCTTAACCTGCATGATGATGCAGATAGTCAAACTACTTCTATGCAAAAGGGCATGCTGCATTTTTTGGTGAACTGTCTTCTCCTGTTGAAACAGAATCTGACGGCCATGTCTGGCAAGAGGCCGTGAGTCGAAGGAAGAGCCTTGGATCAGCCACTCTTCTTTCGCTCTGCTCGATCGGTTTCGGGTGTTGTACATGCAAACAAGAGCAAAAGGAGGAAAGAGGGGACTGGGACTCGATGGTCTGAGTCTGCTGGGCTGCTGATCCAAGAGGCTTTGTCGTCCGTGTTCGGGATCATGCCGAAGACATGGTCAGCGAAGTTTCCTGCGGTGAAGGCCAAATAAGAGACTCGCAACCAAAGCCGAATACCCAAGCTGAAGACGACGGCGGCGCGATATGACGATGCTTGACGCTATCTCCGCGAGACACCAGCAGAAGCCGGTCAGATCTGCAGATACCTGCAGTAGAATGAAGCAGCAGAGCAGAGCCATCAAGAGTGCTTGACGGCTCTGTCTGACACGTAGGGCTTCCCAAGCTTCCCTTCCTCATCCCGCAACTACAACGCAACAGGTCTTCGGCTCCTGACTTCGATTTGGCTCTCGGTGCTGAAGAGACTGCCTGTGATTTCTCACCTGCCCGGCAGGTCAATGGACGAAAGTCCTGTTGCACTTCTCGCTGTGATTTTCAGTCCCTGTCATTGTCATCTCGTCCTGCATCCTAAAGCAATTCCTGGGGTCATATTCCATTGCCACAAGCAGCTTAAAGCCACCCGTACCACCATGCAACGCTACAGTTGCGCAAACGATTGGTGCAATCATGTAGAACTATGCATACCCCGTGGGCCGAGTTCCTCAATCGCAGAATTCAGCTGGCAGTTGGGGCAGAGGCCCGTTTGGGATTCTGATTCTCTGATCCCGAATTCCTTACCTCAGACCTGAGGGCGGAGCCTCGCGCTTGCGTCGTAGGGTCCTCCGAGATCGCCTGCGCCCAATGACACGGCAAAGGAGAAGTCTGCTGCTTCCGAGTCTTGGTCACAAAGAGTTTGAGCTAGATAGCAGCGAGGTCTATAAGTAGGAGGTACCTCAAGGCATCTTCTTGATAAACGTCCGAGTCAACAGTAACCCGGATGCATCCCAGTCAGCCCTGTATTTGCAGCCTGAACCAGGGTCGGCGAGCTTTCGGCGCCTGACAGGAGAACTAACATGTCAAAAGCATCCTATCTCAAGCCGGAGCCGAGGGAGCTTGAAAACCTAAGACCTCAACGGCGATCAGGCAATCAAGTCTGCAAAACTAGAGGCTCAAGTGGCCACGGAAAGAAGCTCGGGACTGGGCTGCACCACGACAGTCGTGGTCAGCATCTTTCAAGACTTCTTGAACCGGGCTGATGGTCGTGCTTGTGGCTGTGTGAAGAGAGCAGAACCCAACCTAGAGAGCGAAGAACCTGGAAGCAGCCGTTGGTGAAAGCTGTCCCTGGCCTTGGGGGTCGACCTGATCCGACGGGAAAACGGACTTCTCGCTGTGGCCTGCAGAGAAGCCCCAAAGGGGTTTCGGCAGAAGTTGCAGCAGCATCAGTAACAAGTAGAAGTAGATGCTACCGTCGCGGTTCTTGGTGATGCTGTATGCCCCATCGTAGTAGACGTGGTGGTAGCCATGATAGTCGTGCTGGCCTCTGGCCGTGGTCGCGGCAGCAGTCGTAGAAATCGGTATGATTGGCTGTGATTCCCCTGCATTGGATCCGGTGACCCAGCTGCGTTACGCCCGCCACGCCTTGCTTTTGTTTCGGCAGCGCGCTTACTGCAAACTGCGCTCGTGGGCACAAAACTGCACAGTACCTGGGATTGCCCTGCGGTTCCAGGGCAGACGTACGCCGGCAGCCTTTAAGTAAACATGAGTTTGGCGCATTTCTGCGTCTGTATGTCGGTATGCGTAAATTTTGCTGGTCTCTCGTTTCTCAGGCTTAAGGGCGTGTCAGACTTCTCAAGTACGTCTCTTCTTTATGTCAGCCAGGAGGGTGACATGTATCGCTCTTTGCTTTGATCTGGGGCATGGGAGGCAGGCAGTCCCTACCTTTCGCTCGTCAGACCGGCCCCATCCATTTTGGTTGGATGTATCGCCCTCTCTCTCTTTCTTTCGCCAGGGTTCCAAGCTCAGGGGTTTCCCCCCTCGCCCGCGCGCGCTTGGCGCCCCCGACCGTTTTGGTGGGGCGTGGAGAGAATGCAACGCACAACCCCTGCAACGTTCCAGTATGAGAAAACATCAAGACACCAAGGGCAGTATACCAACATCAAAGTACGATCAGTTTGAGGGTTGCCTGTAGGAGAAAAAGTGCGGGCAAGCTACGTGCGAGGCCGTCCCCGATCCCTTAAGATTTAGCTGAACACATGAACATGCTTCACAATGGCGCAGAATTGCCTTGGCGACAGCAGGAGCCAGGACGCAATCGTGCCACTTGTTCGTTGTGCACTAAGCGACAACGCTTACTCACGGCTTACTCATGAGCCAGCCGCTTCCACACAAGTAGCAGCAACAGGACTACCAACACCAGCACCAGCACCGCTATTAATCGCTGAACATTGATGCCATGCCCGGAAAGCTTTTGCGCCTGGTGCGTACCACAACTCTGCGAAGGACTCTTGCATCTCCTCTCCGACAGACTCACATTCAGTTGCAGTCCATGGACGGCACGTCAGGGCAGACAAGACAACACTCGGACGGTCCTAGACGCCTAGAATGGGTACCCAGTGTCTGGGCTCAAACCGTCCTCCAAAAGCTTGCTTGATTGATCTGTCCGCATGTGCCTCTCCGTCCAAGCATGGGGAACGAACCTGTCGGGGAAGCTTCAATCCAGCACACGACAGGTCTGCCTATTTCCATCCTCGAACTCTGCCGGAGCAGCAATCAGCCAAACTAGGAGAACGTCAGGCCGGTTTGAGTTTGACTTGTGAGCTGCCAGCCCAGATGTCCAAGAGCCAGTATCCCTGAGCCCCTACATGAAAGGATGGAAAAGGCTGGGCTCACCCGGTTGTCTTCTTCTTGGGCATGTTCCGGCCATCGTCAGTCTCCGCCCAAGCGACCAGCGACTGGACAGGGGTCGCTGCAAGGAGTCTGGGCTTTCTTGGGAGTTGGGGAACTGTTTAGCTTGGTTGCCGCAATGTCATGCGATCCATCTTGGTAAGCTGAGAGCCAAATGTCAAGGGTTTAGATTCCGGGGTTGCGGAGTAGTGTTTTCACACTTGAGGAATCCGGAATGGGCGGGAGACATTGTCTCCTACAGGCCTAGAGGACTCACTGAATCGAGTGGAGCATTCGATCGAGGTACAGCGGGAGTAGACATTCAAAATAAGCTTTAGAAACTGCTTCAAGACGTCCATCGTCAGTCACACGCCATACCCGAGGGGGCTTTGTCGTGCGTCGTTAAGAACTCTCATTCCTTCGAGCAGTGGCACCTGGCGGGGAGATTGCCCTCAAGGACCCACCCGGCCTGTTGATGTCTTGGGATGTGCGAAGTACCTGCAAGCTTGCGTTCGACCTGCAGGGCACACACTTCTCCGTACCAACCTAGCAATTACGAATGTGCTGTCCTGAACGAAGCTTCAGAATTATTTCAGCTATTGAAGTCTGAGAGGTCGAGAACCCTAACTTATGGTGCTTGAGACTGTATACATTCATCCATGATCCTTGAGACGTTTTCCGGCGCAGCCACCTCTCTGAAATCCGGGTTATCTTGGCACGGTTCCTGCTGTCAGACAGAAAGCATCATGTCCGTATTGGTGCTGCTTGCATATGCTCTGCTGCGCTGCGCTCGAGATTTTCTTCTCGACGCCTCTTCCAACCCTCAGAAATCGAATCGAACCAGAACAGTAAGGTGTCTGACCGGCTATGCACGATGCACCTTGAACCCTAGTTACTAACCGCTGCCCGGCCTGAGACACGAGCTCGGCGGAGGCCCTCGAGAGCTCCTCGGCCACCTGATGTCAGCGAGAGATGAGCATGCAGCATGCGCCTAACCCCCACGTTTTGACGATGTCTGCACGCAAAACACAGGGGGGGGAGAGGCCCCCTTCTTTCTGAAAACGGTGCGGGCGGAGAGCAAAAAGAAGCTTGCCTGTCGCGAGACCTCGTCGCACAAGCTTTGAAGCCTGAGCTCGGGCAGGTAGATCTAAGCGCAGGCCGAGACATGCTCTGAAATGCCTAGACTTAAGCGCTTAAACACCCCATTACAAAGGCCCCACACCAGAACGCCGACGTTGTGTTGTCTACATTCTACATGCCCGTGCCGGAACCTAAGGGGCTCACCTCCGGCCAAGCAAGACTCTTCATCAACATCAACTTCATTTGCTGTTCAATCGGCGTGCGGCTGGGATTTCCCAGGTCTACGACATCA